CCATTTCTTGAATAGAATCCGTTTTATGAGCGGTCAGAGCAGGAAAGACATGAAGAGTGGAAAGTCTTTCGACAGAACCCATTTGATTGAGAGCCGAACCGATACTAATAATTACAGAGTATTTTTTGTGTCATCTTTTTTCTAAGAAAAATATTAATGAAATGATGTTTTTTTTGTTGGTAACGCTAATAGTGTGCTGTTATTTACGGAATTCCAATACTTTTCAAAGAATGGATTGAAGAGTTGTGGCAACACAGGAATGACTCGCACTTTGATCCCAATGACATCAATTTAATTAATAAGTTTAAGATAAAAGCGTTTCATGGCTTGGGTTTGGCTTTCGTTGGATTCTCGAAAGAAGAGCCGTTAGAAGTGAATGAAAGGGAAGAGATGGAAATTTTGACCAAAACATTTGATGGTCAAGTGGTTGACCCCTACTCTAACAGCTGTACACATATTATATTGAATGCCAACAAAGGCGAAAAAGTCGACATTAATTTTGATCAATACGAGAGAATACCTGATAATGTCGTCTATAAAAGCGTATGAATTTGTTGTCTTAAAGGAATTTAATTTAAAGTTATTAATATCTTGTATTAATCAGTGGTTCACAGAATCGGTTCACATTAAGAATCGCGAAGAAGAGGAATTTCACCACTACTTTGTAAATATTAACATTGAATTTATTTATTAAATGATTAATTAATTAATTTTATTTAAAGTCACAAAAAATGCGAGAACTTTGTCGAACTCCTTCTACGTGTGGCAAGTCTTCTGTGAATGGTTTGGGTGTATTGAGTCCTGATTACGACCTATCCTTCTCTTTGGACTCATCTGTTTGTAAGTATATTTTAATTACAATTTTAAACATTTTTATGTTTGCTTTTTACGGCCGATATCTTAATAATTGCATTAATACAGCGAAATCGAAATTAGATACCGATGTGAAGGCATTGGACCAAAAGTCCAAATCACACACTTATCACGTCTGTTATGAATTGTGTCAAAATGAGACCAATTATGTCAAGATTTTAAAAGACATCCTTTCGGTATAATAGAAAATATCAATAATTTTATGGCAATTAATATTTGGTTTGAAACAGATATTCAGAGAACCGCTCATAAACCACAGCGAACCACAAATGCCACAACCACTATTGCCCAATGATATTGAATTGAAGACAATATTTGGTTGTTTGCCGCCACTCATCGAAGTTCACGAACAAATTCATAAAAAGTTGGAAAATATTATCCAAAACTGGAGCGAAGATAACGAAATCGGCAAAGTTTTTGTTGAACACGTAAGACAGACATTAGCCACTCTTTCCGTTGCCAATTGTGTACTCAACAAGAATCATATTAATTGTTAACGAGTTTATAATATAAACTTTATATTCATTGCAAACAGAAAGTGTGGTCTCTTTTTTGTTTGTGTATTAAAACGATTTCTTTTCCAATAGTCTCAACAGTTTCTGACCGCTTATCCACAATATATTAATTATCACGAGAAGACCAAAGAAATGATTGATGAATGCATTAAAAAATATCCGAAATTTGAGTCATTCCTTAAAGTAATTTTAAATTTGATTAAAAAAGGGATGTTTTTAATATAATTGTATATAATATAAAAGGTATCGCAAACAGACGCGCGATGTGGACGACAAACTTTAAAGGAATTGCTTATAAACCCAATACAACGGTTGCCAAGAATCGAACTTTGCTTGAAAAGTAATGAATATATTATTTCTTATCTGTTTTATGACATTTGTTAACAAATGATTTTTAATTTAAAGCATTACTCGACAAAACGCCAGAAACAAAATCCGATTACAAATCACTGAAAGAAGCGCTGAATACTATCG